AAGGAGGAGGAGGAGGAAGATGACGACAACAGAAGGAAGAAAAGAAAACAAACCTTCCTCCTGGCATTTTTCAAACCAGTAAGCAAAGCATAATACACGTCATGACAGAATTACCTTCTACTAATCTACACCTCTTAAAACTACAACACTGGGGACAGAACTTCCAGCACACAAACCTCTGAGGACACCAGTCACTCCAAATATAACATGCACACACCATTCTCTTTCTCCCTAATTCCAAATCCTCTCCATGCTCACTATCACCTTTGCTACCTATTTCACTAAGCAAATGAAATACTCAAAAACTTCCATCTGTTCCAACCACCCCATCTAACAACTTAGTTCTATACCCTTTCACCCTCTTTTCCCTACAGTTATGACAGCTACTCTCATCTGCTCCATCTCTATTTGATGTTAGAACTAACCCCTTCTAACCTTGTATGCAAAGTCCTTGCTCCCCTTTCTTTCTTAATCATACGTTATCAATGTTTCCCTTTCCACTGAGTCCTTTCTAACAGAACACAATATGCAATACTCTCTGCATGCGGTCTTTTCATAGTCCTCCACCATCAATATTGCCTAGTAGTAACACTCTTGGAACGGCCCCTCCTACACATGACGAGCTTTGGTTTGTATGAGCAATGCAGCACAGCAGAAGTGGTACTATATAGGCCCCAAATTAGATCAAAAAGGATATTGGCTCTTTCCATAAAGGATCATGTAACCATCTCTTTGGCTCTTTGATCAACCATTCTGAAGTCAACATGGAGGTAGTATATAGAGGGGAAAATGGTTGGCACCAACAAATTGAGGCCTCACACAGGTAAGTTTAGGAGCAAAGTCTCTAGCTCCAGGTCTAGAATGGCAGCATTCTAGGCCAACAGCTTTTAGACAGTTCCCCAGCTTCCACTTTTGAAACATGTTGTGCTTTCCTTATTATATGGTTATCTCCACACTAATGTATTCTTCAGCTCTCCAAAGTATTAGAGTGCCTGCTACCGATATTCTCCCTTAAATATCACATTCAATCTGACGCATTTACATGGTATCTTCAGTCTCTAACTTTTATGTCTGGTGCTAACATGTGATATAAGGTCAACACAAATTAAAAAGAAACTTTACTTCTATCTCAAAACCTAATTATCCCTTGAGTCATTTCTGTGGTCTCTCAAATAGTCACCCAGAATCTACTTCTCTAATCTATCCTCAACGTAGTCATCAAAAGTGATTCTTCCAAACCCTACTCCAAACCCTTTAAATCCTGTCATGATAGCTCACTCACTCAGTTCTAGTTCACTAACTCTGTACCACTCCACAGACACCCCAAACGTGCCTACTACAGGATCTTTACACACTCTATTTCCTAGGCTTAGGGTATTCTTTTAAACCCAAATGATTGTGTCAGTTTCTCTTTCACTTCCCTTAGGTCACTTCTCCTACCACCCAATCTGGGAGGAGTTTCATTATAACCTATTAGAAATGCAAATTTCTGTCAATCTATCCAACCACTCCAACACACAGAATTTCCTATACTTGTTAAGTTTTATTTTTCTGTGTAAGCCAGATCAAAATCTGATATTTATTGGCTAATCAATTTACTATTCATTTCTCTAAATATAAAGTTCTAGAAGGTCAGCAATTTGCATGTTTAATTTATTCTATATGATGCCTAGAAACTACAGAACACTAAGTACACAAGAGCTACTAAACAAACTATTGAAATAAGAAACATAGCAACAGGAGATATTCCCACTGTGAGTCTCCACACCTCCATGCCATATGAGGGCAAGAGGAGTTATGTGAGACAAAGGCCGTAATCCAAGAAAGATGAGAAGAGCAAAGCCCCAGAAATACTGCTTTGTGATAGCCATGGCTCAAACACAGAAACAAACAACCAACTACTAATGAGGAAAAACAGCTTTGACACAAAGAAACCAGGAAGATACTCCCAGACTCGGTGATACGACCTAAATAATACTGCCCATCGCTACAGAAGTATTACATCTTTCCTAGTAGATTCCCCGGGGGGGAAGTAGGGGGTACGGGAACAACCAAAAAACTTGCACACCATTTCTACCCAAAACAGAAAACCTTAATGTAATATGGAAAAACACATTTAAAACCTAGTATTCCGGGCTGGAGAGATGGCTCAGCAGTTAAGAGCACTGGCTGCTCTTCCAGAGGACCTGGGTTCAATTCCCAGCACCCACCTGGCAGCTTACAACTTTCAGTAACTCTAGTTTCAGGGGAATCTGACACCCTCACACAGACATGCAGTCAGGCAAAACGCCAAGGCACATAAAATACCTAAGTAAATCTTTAAAAGCCTAGTATTAAAGATGCTGTATTATGAGTTCCAAGCCAGCTAGGGCTACAAAAAGAAAACCTGTCTCAATAAAATAAAAAAAAAAAAAAAAACACTCTGCTTAAGCAAATTGATTTACATTCTTCAAAGTGTCACTGGTACAAGGCACAAAAACTCGGGAGCTGCTGTGAATTAAAGGTGACCAAGCACGCATGACAACTGAGCACAATACATGGACTTGAGTTTTATTGTACTATGAAAATACAGTATTAGGCCAGGCGTTGGTGGCGCACGCCTTTAATCCCAGCACTCGGGAGGCAGAGGCAGGTGGATCTCTGTGAGTTCGAGACCAGCCTGGTCTACAAGAGTTAGTTCCAGGACAGCCTCCAAAGCCACAGAGAAACCCTGTCTCAAAAAACCAAAAAAGAAAAAGAAAAAAAAAAACAGTATTAGGACATCTGAGGAAATCTGAATACAGTTTGTAGCCTGGATTATCAGTACTCCTACTCCACAAGTGCTGACTTCCTGGCTTTGATAATTCTCTAGTTATGTAAGACAATTCATTTGTTCTTAAAAAAAAACATATACTTAGGCTAAGACAGAACAACACAGGCATGTAACCCCAGCACTTGGAAGAAGGACTGCAAATTCAAGGCTAGCCTGGGCTATATAGCTAGGCCTGTCTCACAGAAACAAAGTCTGGGTATAATTCAGCAACTGCACACTTGCCTAATAAGCACAAGCCCTTGGGTTTGATCAGTAGCAAAAGAAAAGGAAAACAAAAACAAAACAAAAACAAAAAAAAACGAGAAAGGCAGAAAAGGATTGAGGAAGACTTTAAAAGGAGAAAGGGAGGGGAACAAAAGGAAAGAGATGCCTCAGAGGTTAAGAGCATTGGTTGCTTTTCCTGAGGTCCTGAGTTCAATTCCCAGAAACCACATTGTGGCTCACAACCATCTGTTATGAGATCTGGTGTCCTTTCCTAACCTGTAGGCAACATGCAGGCAGAACACTGTATACATAATAAATAAATAATTCTTAAAAAAAAAAAAAGGTCCAGGAGGGGAGAATGAGTTATCATATATTCAGATGATTCTCAGAAGTGAAAAAAAATTAATATGAAAGAAAAAAGACAAAACAAACACAGCAAAGTGTTACTTTATGAGAAATCTGAGAATATACGGGAACTCTGTATAATTCCTATAAATTTTCTGTCAATAGTAAACTAATGTCAAAGTAAATTTAAAGAAAACAAAAAGTGTCTAAAATTACAATACAGATTATTAGAGTGGTTCTATTAGAGTAGATCTTTTGAAATATAAAATAGATTAGAATGGTTCCTATTTTATATTTCAAAAGCTCTCTATAAATTCACTTTTCAAATTAAAAACTTGTTTGGTTGCACATGGCTGTAATCCCAGCATTCAAGAGGCTGAGCAGAAGGATGAAGAGTTAAATGGACAGATTGTGCTATAGCAAGATCATGACTTAGAAATAAGTACTCAAATTCAAATGTAGAAAGTATAATTGTAAAAATATGTATAATGTTGAAAGGATTTAAATGCAACTTTAAATTGTACCTTCTATTGGTTACCTGGATTTTCTTTTCCTGAGTCTACATTTTATTCAAGAACTAAAAGTAACAAGGCACAGTACACACTTCTATGATCCCTGCTACTCAGAAGGCTAAGAGCAAGAGGACAAGTTATAGCCAGCCTGACAACACAGAAACTGCTTTAAGAGAGAAGGAAAACTAATCACTAGTAATAGCATGAAGAAAACTATAACTTACCTCTAAAGAAGTAAGTAAATGCATACTTTACACTAAGAGAATCTGAAAAGTAATGCCCATTAGGCAGAGTGTGGAGCTCCAAGTCTGTAATCCTACTACTTTGGAGGCAAATGCAAGAAGCTCCACTCAAGGTCATTGTCTCTACTACACAGCAATGTAAATGCTGGCCTGGGCTACATAAGATCCTGATTCAAACACACACAGACACAAAATATTACAGTAAGGGTGGGGGCAATGACTCTGTGTTTGCTGGGCTTTGTGGTGTATGCCTGTAATGCCACCACTGAGTGGCAAAGACAGATAGGTGCCTGGGACTCAATGGCCAGGTAGCTAGTGAAACAAGCAAATGTCAGGTACAGTTTTGAGACCCTGTCTCAAAACCTAAGTTCCACCTTAGTGGTAGAGAAGTTATCCAGCATCAACCTCTGTCTTCCATATATTCATGAACAGGCAAACATGATCATGAGTGTATTATGTTCATACACACACACACACACACACACACTCACACTCACACGCACGCACGCACACACCACATATACACACAAAAATAAACTTATTTCAAGGAGTCACTATAAATTATTTTCAATTGAACCACCACATCATTTAATAGTGTATTAACAACCATATATGAGTAGAAACAGAAATAAGTTTAGGCTGGGCGTTGGTGGCGCACGCCTTTAATTCCAGCACTCGGGAGGCAGAGGCAGAGGCAGGCGGATCTCTGTGAGTTCGAGACCAGCCTGGTGTACAAGAGCTAGTTCCAGGGCAGCCTCCAAAGCAAAAGAGAAACCCTGTCTCGAAAAAAACCAAAAAAAAAAAAAAAAACAGAAATAAGTTTAAACTTCCTTTAAACAAGGTATCAACCAGCCATTTCTAACAGAAGAAAAATAGCAAAATTACCTTCATGAACTGTAATTCCACAATTGTCACATTGAATTATTTCATCTGCGTCTTCACTATTATCTCCAAGACAAACACAGCAAATCAGAATATGGTCCATTTTTTGGGAACTCCAGTTTTGACTCTTCTCAAGAATCAGCGAGTCCTAACATTAAAATACATCAGAAAAATCACATTTTAATTAAAAAGTAATTTAATACATTTTAAATACTGTTTCTCTTACTTCAAATTTATGTGACATTCTATTAGTACCCTCAAAGTACGCTACACCTCTGCCAAAGGACCCTTTATACATCTTCTTTTTCACTTCTCTCTGAGTGCCATAGGTTCTACTCTCTACAAAGTGAGAAGAAACAGGCATGCAAATAACTTTGGCACTTGACTTTTGCCCTTAAACTAGGAGAAAAGGAATAATCCATCCTCTAGGAATTACCAATCCTACATACAGATTTTCGAAGTATCAAGATGTGGTTCCTACACTTTTGGTAAAGTTACTACCAGGAAAGACAAGACACACACACAAAACAGGAGAGAGTAAATTAAGATAATGTATAAGCAAGTGTGCAGATGATGCCCGAGAAACTCTAGACTCCAAAGTGTAAAAGGTCCAGAGTTACCCAGCTACTCAGAAAGAGCCTCAACACATCAGCTTCATATCTAGCTATAAACCAAAATTTTTAATGCTCCAAGTTGAGCAGCTGCTAGGAAAATAGAGTGTTCCTTACATTTATGTCAAGAGAGATATAGTGCAAACTGGTGATAAAGATAGCCAGCTACTAACAACATAAAAGAGAAAAACTTTCATAGCACACGAGTATAAAAAGATAAAATCTCAAGAAAAGAAAGCTTGTCCATTTTAATTTAAACCTTGAGCATTATGGATGCAAACTTTAATTTAAAAAGTCATTCTGGCCCAGTGGCATACTCTGATAGCTCCAGCTACAATGAGAAGATGAGGGAGGAGGATAATCTGAGCCTAGGAGTTGGACAAATAGTAATGCCCCACCTCAAAAAAGTCTTGCCAAATTCATAAACAACAGTTAACGTTAACAAGCATGACAGTATATTTTCATTTATAAACCTAACCACAATCAAAACAAAATTGTCAAGTTAGTTCCATGCCACAGTCACTAAGTATATTTAATTTCATATTCATATTTTGCTGTTTTATATCCCTTTAAACTCTGTCAACACTCTCAAGGGTAACATTTGTAACCAAAATTTCAATAAAATTGTGAATGACTTTTTTTGGGGGGGGCTTTTTGAGACAAGATCTCATGTAACCCAACATACCCTTGAACTTACTATGTACCCAAGAATGGCCTTGAACTTCTAATCCTCCTGCCTGTACTTCTCATTGGCTCTGATTACAGGCATATGTCACAACACCCATTGAAAATGCTTACAGATGCAATAAATAATCCTTTCAATATATTTTTATGGATAACATCTAAAATTACAGCAGTAAAACAAATCAGGAAAAAAAATGACTACCAAGTAACGTAAAACTATCCTATAAAGAAAACTCATGTGTTTTATAGTATCTTGGTAGTTAATGAACACCATGGGCTTTCATTCTCAGCTTTCATTTAACAGTTGCTGAGCATACAAAGTTCTCATTTGTGAAATGAGAATGACAGAAATAAAATGGAACAGAAAGGTTGTTGTAAGAATTGATGAAGTAATAAAAGTTATCGATGTTGCATTCTTCATGCCCTTCCTCCTCACTTCTATACAGACTGGCATCTAACAGTGAGGCAAGGGATGGGCTGTCTTCTATAGAATCAAGTTACAAGCATAATAAGCACTGATATTTTATCCCCATGGTAAATCCAAATGTTTTCTCATAGCCTATCACTTCTAAGTTGTTTTTCGGTTTTTGTTTGTTTAAATATCACAGACTAGAAAATGACCTAAAAAAAAGGGGGGGGGCTTATTATTAAGCTACCTGTGTCAATGGACTGTCAACATTTCTTTGAAAGAATTACTTCAAAGCCTTAGAAAATGTATTAGTACAGAAAAATAAGTGAATCTCTATGAGTAAAACTGTGAATGAATAAAAAATGAATCTCTTCAAGTAGGCACTGAATCAATGAGAAGATCTAATTCCTCTACTTTCTGACTTTATTCAGAAAAACAGACTATCTAAGCTGTCTCTCTATGCCAGTTCCTCTGTACATGGACTATGCTCTAATGCATGGGAATGAGAAAACAACAGTGACTGCTGTTTCTGGGCTGCTGATCGCAGTTCAAACTGTAATGCAAAGGACGGGGGAACAATAGCCTTACGGGGTTGGTGTTCCCCTAAACACACAACTGCTCACAACGGTTCAGTGGGAAAATCTACAGCAAATTTTTGAAAACATTATGAGCTAAGTGTTTGTTAGTAGAGCAGACATACATTAATGTTTATGTATGATTTAAGCACATTTATGATCAAAATAATAAGAGTCCAGTTTCCTATGAACTTGTTAGCAGGCTTCTGAAGATATGTGTCCTCTTTCAAAGAATAGGCTACAACCTTTATCAAGAATGCAGCTTTGCACAAAAACAGAAATCAAGAAAGTAAGTTATAGATGGCAAAAGAACACTAACCTAGAAATTAGGGGGAAAGGGGAGCACTACAGTACTAATTCAATGGTTATTTTATTTTTCCCCTTGAAATTTAAAGTTAATCCTAAAGAAAAGAACTTAAGGGAGGTGAGAATACAAGGGGCAATGAATTTACATGTAAAAGCTAAGCAGAAGGCACTAATTGGGAGAAGAAAGGGACACAGCTGGAGAGAGGAGGGGACCCAGGAAGAATAGAGAGGGAAGCAACTGAGAACTAAGTATAAAGGCTTGTATGCATGAAGAGGCTAGGTCACATCCCAATGCTTTGTATGACAACCTAAATATAAATAAATAAATACACATTAGCCTAAAAATGAAACATTGCCTAGTATTCTCCCTGTGCTCCAAAACATACTTACTGTTCACTTGCCATGTATTTTCTTTTCTTTCTGTTTTTTTTTTTTTTTTTTTTTTTTTTTTTTTTTTTTTTGGTTTTTTGGGTGTCTCTGTGTAGCTTTGGAGCCTATCCTGGCACTTGCTCTGGAGACCAGGCTGCCCTCTAACTCAGAGATCCTCCTGCCTCTGCCTCCCGAGCCATGTATTTTCTATGATTATAAAATACATACAAATGGCCTAAATTGTACCTGCTGTGTTTAGATTCAACAGGAAAAAGTCCAATATAACTTACATAGAAACAGTATTAAAAGATGATGAAAAATAGGATATCAAAAAAACAGTATTGATCATCCAAAAGTACGATCAATAATTCTTCATCCACTCTTTCCTTTAAAGATTCTCACATTTGTAAAATATTATAAAACTTGTTTTAATGGGACTTAAAGCAATCTTTTTCTTGAAAATGTGTAGAGATAATTAGTGAGTCAGACATACTGAACAGATACATATCTTCAGAAGTATGCTATCAAGAACTGATAATAAACTTGAGTTTTATATTCATTTGATCCTAAGTGTGCTTGAATTACTTGCTCTATTTAATTACTTGTAATTACTTGAATTACACTTGCTCTATGAAAACACAAATCATGTTTTGAAGAGAAAGGGTTAATATTTTCCTACTGAAAGTATTTATAAATTTTGCCAAAACCATTTATGTAATAGTCACTAACTTTAGGGGACACTTGTCATTAAACATAAAAGAGCCTAGCATGACAAAAAAAAAAAAAAATTCTTTTACTGAGCCGAAAATATAAGGTTGTACTTACTAAACAGTAATCCAAAAACCAAACTGGTGTACAGATCCTCAATGAGAAAAAAGCTTTTGGTTCTTAATAAAACAAGACTGCCATTTCTACTGACAGAATTTCTACATTGCATAAATTTTCATCTACTCTAGGTTCAAGTTTTGAAAATTAGAACCACTTTCTAAAAATATTACACTACCCTTCTTTTAAAAACTTAGGTCAGAAGATCACAGGTGGGGAAAAAGGGGATGTTATTAGTGACACTCAAGTTTCAAAATAAAGGACTGAAAAGGTCACAGCTATACCTTAAGGGCGTTATCCAGACTGTACTAATTTCAAAAATGCAAATGTGAAAGCCCACGGAGAAAGACAAGCACTGATCTGCAGAAAATGCAACTCATCTAACTTTAGAGTGCCCCACTCTAAAGCAGCAACAGTGCTCCAGGAAGTTCTCTTGCAGGAAGTGTACTGGTAAAGACGATTCTCATGATGCTGTTACTATACCTTCTGCTTATTGTGTTCTTCTCTTGTGTGTTCTTCTCTTGTGCCTGGGTGAAGTGTTCCAGAAGGTACATAAAGGCAGTGTTACCAACCTGACAACTTGTGTGCTTCTCTATGTGTTTTCATTTCATTTGAAATTGAAAATGTCAATAGACATAGTCAACCTAAATAATACTGCAAGTTTTCAATATTTTTTTAAGATTAAGGAATCCTAAAACCAAATGTTTTAGATGCACTCTTCTACATGCCTGAGGCATGTTAAAGCCAAAAAGTGACAGTTATAAAAGGGCCCTGATCAAAAAATGTAAATTCCCCTAAGAAACTTGACAATTGTTAAGGTTGTAGAGCATCATATAACTACAGACAGCTCACATCATTTCTCTGCCAACCCACCTACCATTGCAACCAAGAAAAGGCTGTAGCTAAAAAGGAAATATGATATTCTCATTTGTATTTCTGAAGCCATACTTTCTGCTGTTTCTATTACAAAGGGGAATCTGAACACTTAAAGGCAAAATGGAAAAAATAAAATCTCAAATACATACTTGTTATCTATAAGGAATATGTAGTAATTATTATAATCCAAGATAGATAACTACTAAGGCTGACAGAAACATAAGGCATAAAGGATAAACTTTAAACATCTTTCTATAAAGACAAGATCATATAAATAGAAAATTTAGATTTACAATAATCTAAATTGATTAACTTCGTAACTAAAATTGAATGTCTAGTTTACTAGAACATAATTTAAATATAATTAAAATCATCAAAAATTTTTAAGGGATTAAAATAGCTGTGGGGACAAAAACTGTAAGCAAGCATTTAAGTAGGAGGCTATTCTCAGAGAGATTAGCTTTCTATAAATTATTCTATATGGGTTTTTTTTTTTTTTCCAGAAAAACACTTAGGGATCTCACCCAAGAAATAACTTGGGACATGTAAATATAGTCCCCATTACTTAACAGAATTTTTAATTTTTTTTCACCAGAAAGGAAAAAAAAAACCTAACCCACACATATGATCTTGAAATGAATTATAAAACTTCATCTATTAAGCACTGTTATCAAGTAGAGGTTACTAAAAGATAATACATTTCTATACATAGTAATGTATAGAAGCATTCCTACACTTTAGTATGAATCTTCTCCATAGGTCCTCTATCATTAAATTACTTTTGTAACTATTAACCTAATAAACATGAAGCATGAAGAGATGCTCCGAAAAGTAAGCTCAGTCAATAGATATAGAACCAGTACTAAATGCTATAAAAATAAACTGACAAATAAATGCCCAACCTAAATATTAACAGATATCCATAAATATGCCAAGATGGCATTAGCAATATGGAATAGTTTATGCTACAACCTTAAAAGTACCATACTATCTCCTCAAATGAGTTTTTCTTTACCAAAAGATACAAATTAGCATAGCATTGGAAGCAGGCAACATTCTTCATAGGAATGAGGGCAACCTAGAAATTAATCAGTGTTTATAATGCAGATAATAAGGTGTTATTTCATCTCTGCGGACATGGAATCCCTGACAGTTTGCTATATATTAACTAAGAAGAAAAAAATCCCGCAAAATTAACAGTAAATCTAGTTAAAACAGACAAATGCTAATCTGAAATCTGTAAGGAGAAAAATATGAAAGAATAAAGCATAAAGAAAATCTACCAGTTTAAGCTACTTCAATGATATGAAAAACAAAAAAAAATGGTAAAGAAAATTTTGTTGACATAAACACAGTAACAGAAATGACAGAATTAAAACAGTTCTATATGTGATGTAACAGATACATCTACATATAAGACACCAACTCAGTCTTTCTTTTGGAAGGAAAACACATAGGCACACAGACAGAGACACAGGTATATTTAAGTGAAGTCTTGAACGTTGCACCTCTGGACCAATGGGTAAACCTAACTTGCAGTAGAACTTCAATGGCAGGACTGAGTCATGACTGTTGCTTCAGGATAGAAACGTTTATTCTAAGGGGGAAAATGTTTGCTTTTATTTTTACTTCTTTGCAGACAATTTGTTTACTAAATGTGTTTTTAAAAGTACATTTTACTTTCACACACATAAAGCAAATTATTGGTGACTGCTACAGCTGATGAGTTAACCTTTAAAAACAACTCTCTACACATCTGAGGAAAAAAATGAGCTACTTGCTGTTCTCTTCTAAAGTATTCAAAAGCTTTATATTTTTATGTGGCTATGGACAAAATTATGTTGAAAGAAGTCCCTACTATCATAATCCACTCAGTGCCAGTTAGCATCTCTGAACAGGAAGAGGATAAAAATGGGAATAGAGAACTATCATTTCCCAAATCTACAGATATAAAAATGTTTCTCTACATATTCTTCTCCTTGGAGATGGAGACTACAAACTCCTGGAGAATGCTGACAAATGGTGGGTAATTAAAAGTTTGTTGATCAGATGAACAAATGTTACATTTAGGGTATTCACTCACTCCTACAACTAAATAAAAATTCAAGGAAGCTATCTAATATATAATGTAGTATATAATGTAGTAATTTAGAAATTTCCCTTTTCCCCAGACAGACAGATATCATAAAAATTGGGTTAATCTACCTCATTACTCTTGCTTTGAGATAGGGTCAGGCTATCATTGGTCAGTTCCTCATCATCAGCACTGTTTCTGCTAAGAACTTTACCCTTCTTCTTCTTGCAGCCCACTTCACTAGGAGGGCTGCTATGGTCTTCTTCATTGCCCTCATCATTCTCATCTTCATCACTCCCACTTCCCTCATCTTCATCATCCTCATTGTCTCCGTCACTGCCCTCCTTCTGAGATGCTGATCTCCCCTTTCTCTTCACTACAGTAGGTCTCCAATCATTGTCGTCTTCGCTGTCATAATCATCCATATCATTCAGCTCTTCCATGGACACAAAGTCCAAAAGGGGCCGGTTTCGACGAAGATTCCATTTCTTGGGCTCACTGACTTGCTCCTCAGTGGCAGTGGTTGTGGTAGCGCCTGAAGGGGAGGTGACAGCAGGAGGACTTGTGGCTGGAGTGGTGGCAGCCGCAGAGGCAGCTGCAGTATCAGATGCCGTCGCCTTTTCTTTGTCTTTCTCTCTTTCCTTTTCCTTCTCTTTCTCCTTTTTCTTTCTAGGTCTTTCTCCATTTTCTTCTTCTTCCTTCTTTTCCATTTTAATTAACTGTTTGTCTGACGGCACTATTTCTTCCTCTGTAGAATTTCTAAGCTGTTCGTCTTTGGCTTTAATATCTTCATTCAGTTCTTCTTCTAGAATGTTTTCCTCAGAATCACTACAGGAGCCTTCTCCACTGTCCTTTGAGGGGTCTTCGCTTCCATTACCACTCCCTTCAGAATCTGTTGAAAATATGAGAAAAAAAAACCACACATATGTATATACATACACACACACACACAACACTGACACAAATGAAACCACCAAAACTTGTGAATAACTTGAAAAACAATATAAACAAATCTAAGGCAAAGGATGGCAGACATTCCCAACCTCATTAAATAATAAGTCAACAAAGTTGATATGTAATTTAATCCGATATGAATTAATGAAGATGATATATGATTTTAAGTTAGAATGTACTGCAAAAATAGTGCTACTATTTTATATCAAATAGCTAATAACAGTATAATGCCCTAGAGATAATTTTATTTTCTATAAGTATGTTTAATCAGGCACTTGATTATAACTTAAAAATCATAATGTAATTTGATTAAGTTATCCTTCCTTTATATCCTTCTTTCATAAAATATATATACTTAAACTAATGAATCACATCTCAAGCAAGAAAACTTTAGCCCTTGAAAACTGTCTGGTTTATTAAACTTTTTTCTACCAAAACAAGCATAGACATTTGATAGTAAACTTGAAGCAGACAATGTTACATCAAGTACATAGGTGAAAATGGACAATACCAACGGCACATAACAAAATAGAAGATGAAATAAAAATTCAGTCTTCCTGCTTAATAGAATACTGTCCATATCAATAAATGTGTCAGGTAAACTTTCCTAAGTTCTAACTACTAAGTGCCCTACAATGGAAAATGCTCATGAAGAAATGAACCCATCCTAAATGATCAGCTATCTGCTACTGAACAAATAGGCTATGATTATTGAGTAGATCATGCAAGCTTACAATTAGCAAGCTGCTTCCATTCCCACCTAGGATAGCAGGGTCTGTCTCAACCCAGCATGTATTCCCTATTATAATCTTGACTGCAAAAAAGTCAAAAGTAAAAATTTAACATATTTAGACAGGAGGATAAAGGAAAATGGAGAAAGAACAGGGAAAGCAAGATTTTTCTATCAACTGTAAAATCTCTAGGAAAATAAATTGTCTGCATCTATAATCAGAAAAATGGAAATGCTAATAAATAGTATGAAGCATTACTGCTTCCATATAATTTTAATTTCTTTGAATTCAACTTTCCTTCACCTTTAAACTTAACTGGGAACCGAAGGTAAAAAAGTTGGTATAGCTAAATCACCTCAGAAGCCCCATATATATACAGCTAACAACAAAACTATCCTGTGTGTTAGTTAACTCATGTAAGAAATGAAAACAACAGATTTTGCAGGACCCAATGAATTCACTATCAATCTCAAGACTATCAACTCACTCAGTAGTGTTCTGAAGAAAAAAAGAAAAAAAAGAAAACACCCTGATTCTAAACAACCTTACACAGGGCAAACATGTACTATCATCCAAGCTAACAAATCTTTAGGTTTCAGATCTTTGGAGCTAGATGTGTGTGCTGAAATTTAGAAATGTTCACATTTTACTAGAGTAATTTGGAATATGTCCTAAATATTATAATACCACATTAATGCCTAAGGTGCTATTTCAAATATAATTTTTAAACAGTATAAAGTACAAACATTTACAGTATATGAGAAATGACACAATCAACTGTCAGGTTTAGACAGGTTTTGCTGTAAAACAAGTTTCTGCCAAACTTATGAAATTCATATAGATATCTGAGTTTTTTAGATTTAAAGAGCATTGACTCAATATCATCCCCAAGCAAGTGACTTATTTTAGTTGAAGCATTCTATAAATCTCTCAGAAAATTTGGATTTTTACAGCACTCACAATAATTAAATCTAATCTACAAATTTTTAAATAATGGTCTTCTAAGAACAGAATTCACTAAATACTTCAAAGGCATCTCTTGTGCACATTAAATAAAATTATGACACTTCACAAGTAACACTGTAATCAGAAGCTAAAAGGAAGAGACAAAAAACAAAGATCCTACTCTTCTAGATCAGTCAGTCTTCTAGAAGGTACTTTAACAAGAACTTAATCGGAAATATGTAACTAAAGCTCCTAGTGCAGAGTATGGGCTCCCAATGAGAATAAACTTTGTAACACCTGGTAAACTTCACAAATGTCATGGAGTTTGTAATTTTATTTTCAATGTCAACACTAATGCCAATTATTTTCAAATGTAGAGGTAATCTAATGTTCCTTGATTTTGTTTTTGTCTTATAATGATGTCTGAGCATAGTGCAATTTTAAAATTCAACTGTTTTATATTTGCAATGTATTATTATAAAAACATGACATTTCTCTTCAAATTCAAATATTAGGTGCCTGTCCAAATTTTAGTCACCAAGTGTAATATCTTAGTCATATTCTAAGAACAGGGCCAGGATCACTAGAAAATAACTTTTTCATGTGATTAGATGTCACTTCTTTTCGGTACATATTCATTTGAGGCACAGAGATACTTATTCATAAGCACAGATTAGAAAAAAAGAGAGAGAGAGGGAAAATAAGGTCCACAGATGGCTATATATTTAAAGGCTGCAAAAGAACAACATTTCTATTACTACAATGTCAAAGAACAACTATACCCCCATGATGCCTTCCAAATCTATCATTTCACATAGAAGAAAGGAAAGAACAGAAGTAGGATGCAAAGAAGGAAGGAAAATTAACAGTGTGAAGAAATTAGGCAGATATTGCAAATAAAGCTATCTTATGCATAAGGACAGAGTTAGTTAATCCCCACATCTACAATGAATGGGTTTTTTTTTTTTTACATTTAAAAGTAACTTCAAAATTAAAATACAATTATTCATTTAGTTACAGAATTATGGAAAAAAAAACCTTCAAAACACACAGTATATGAGGATCACTCAAAGCAACAGTCACTTCAACTGTTGAGGAATTTAGTTACATAATTAAAATCAAACCTCCAAAAATCCCTTGACAGTATCCACTAATAATATATTTAATAATCACCAATCCTAAGTATCATTACAACAGTGCTACTTTTTTCTTCATGATGAATCGAAGGTAATAAAATCAGTACAATTTAGAGATTTCCAACTACAAAATATAGCCTTTCTCCAACTATTCCATAACCTTAGTTATTCTTTTCATTGATTGGCACAGTGCAGCAAAAATTAGCATCAGAAATTAACATAGTAAATAACAGATCCTAGAACCATCTTGAATTAATTCTGTTTCTCTTCATAGAAGCCCATCACTCAACACAACTCATTCTCTACTGACTCTACAGGCTGTGTGCCATCTTGCATTTTCTGGGGAAATCTAAATCAGAGCTTCTCTAGGATGGGCAACTCTTTCACCAAAGGACACTAGCTCCTGGAAACACTGGTGGTCATACAGCAGGTGCAACAGGTAGGGAAGACACAGCCATCAAGTACAAAACAAATATGCTCTAAACATCAACACTATACTACACAGGACAAACCTCCACAACAAAGAATTAATTAGTCAACACAAAATGCCAATACCGCCAAGGCTTTCTGAGAAACTCACAACTACAATAAGATCTCAATATTCTCGTTGTTTTCTAGGCGTGTTCTCTACTATTCTTTTTACTTGGTCCTAACCCCAAATAGAAATAACATTTCTATACCTCCATATCTTTAGCATTTATTGTTTCTCTCACCAAGATGGATTTTCTTTAACTACTCTTAGTTCACACCTCCTTTCCCAGCTCCTCAACGAAACTGATCTATACCAAGCTAGTCAAAAATAATCCTTTATCCTCCAGAAGACTTGAACTATACACATAATCAACTACTCCCTGTATTACCTAACATTTAATAAGTGCAATCTAACTATCTGTGACTTTCCCTATAACATTTGGGAAAGTTTTAAATGAAATGCTAATGAATACAACTTGATCAACATACTCAAGCATTACCAAAAGAAACTACGACCGAAGTCTCAACCTGACTATTCCAGTTAGATTACTTCCAGGCAAAATGGTCTCATTATATTAACTAAATAACCCATCAAGATCTAAAGTTAACTCACTTTACTTTGCATAGCAGAGAAAGTGGGAAGGTCCAGGACACCATTAGTTTACAATGTTAATGAAATTAATAAATGCTCACATTTTCAAATAGCATTCAATGCAGATGACAGAAAATTATCTCTAATCCTAGGCACAAATCAAGTAAAACACTTACACTAAACTGTGAAATTTCCAGTATTGGGCTGGTTTAGAGCTACATAATCAGTCACTTGTATGTTGTTCCACCTAAAATTTCCACATGTGGTTCTTCTGGTAGTTATTATCAAAATTTGAACTGTGCCCTGTCTTAGGGCATATTACTGTCACTATCCTCAATCACAAATAAGAGTAAGTAGTGTTGATCTTGAGTAAGCAACATCTCAGCTGTAAGGAGCACTGGCACACCAAAGTCAAAAATGGGAAAGAAGACTCAACTGCCACTACTATTTTAAATAAAGCCATTTTCCACTAGCTCTTTTCCACAATAACATCCCCAAAACTACAAAAATACATTTGTGACCCGAAATCTTAGATCACATAAACTTGTCAGGAGCCAGGGCAGCAAAAAAACTGAAGATTACATGACAAAACTCCACAGAATGTGTGAAATTTGAGTGTGTTTAGGGAACATACATTAGCCAAATATAACGTCCCTTCAACAATAATTAGTATGTATCAAGATGAATTTCTCATTGTTTTTAAAGAAGCTTATCAACATATCTCTGGATTATTCCATCCCTTGTAAAAAGAATGCCTGTGAATGACTCCAGCTCAGTAAATGAGAAAATAACTCTATCAAATCAGAATTTATTGAAACAAAATCATTTTTGGACATCTAAAGAAAGTAAGATTTGGAGTTTGTTTCATAAATTCCTACCTTGTAAGTGGTAATTTTTGTCAGTTTAGAATCTCACTGACAAACCAATAGTAGCTTTCAGCAGAGAGTATTCCTGTTAGTTTTCCCTAAGAAGACATTTACATTTTACCACCTCTCCCTTTAATTCTTTTCCTTCTTTGAAAGTACCAAACACCAGTGAATCAACTAAATAGAAGACAAAGAGCTGCAAAGTAAAGGTTAAAAAATAGTTAATCAAGATAAGCTTATGAAGTGTTGATTGCTGGAGTGAACTCATCAGTTATCACAATATCCAGGCCATTTGGACTTGAGATTACATCAACCCACTCTTTAGTTTCTAACAGTGAAAAGATGAAATTTTATACACAGACCCATTGGATCCATCAGTTTCTGAACAACCTCATGAGCAATCCTTTAATTTCAGCACCCCTGTGACTATAAAGCAGTTATCTCCATAATGAGCTATTACAAAAGTTAAATAAGATTCTGTATTAAATAATGAAAATTGTTGTGGATGCCATTAAGAATAACACAACACAAACTAACCTCTACCCCTCTCACTACCTTTATAGAGGTGGAGGAGAGCCAGAAAAAGGGAACAAGACGTTTCAAAATCCCAAACTGCACAATGGAATACTAAAACATGTTGGAGGGGCTGGAAGTACCATCCAGCAGGAAAGCATGTGCAAGACCCTGAGTGTGATCCCAATACTTCAAGAGACAGAACCCGTGGAAGGGATGAAATTAGAAAGGCTACTATTTCTCACTTTATCTAAATGTTCATCAAAGGAGTAAAAATACAAAAACTTTTTAGTGCTTGTGTGTTTATTGATGTTTTTCAGAAATAATGTTGTTTCTCTGATTCCTTTAACTAAAAGTTAAAAGTACACATTAAATATACAGAAGAAAACATATAAGGGAAAAACCAAAATGTTCTGGTTTTGTTTTTATACTATGTGAACATACAACTTTTATCATCTTTTTAAATCACTAACTAGATTTTTCACTAGAATAAGTAAGCATGTATGCTTTTCTCAAGGTATTGCACCTGCTGTTTTTAAAGCATGAGATTTGCTTGGGCTAACTTTATTCTGTAAGAGAGTTAATGCCCAAAAAATAACAACTCTTCTAAGTGTGCCATGTGAGCTGAAAAGGCTAATTACGGTCCATATTATTCTTAATATACGCTTCTATATCTGGGGCACCTCAATTCTTCACTAGAAAATATAAGCATAAATGTATTTTATGGTATAGAATGGGGGAAAAAATGTTTTTGCATCTTTGGAAAGGGCTCTTCCACCCCAGCTAATCATCTAGTAAACACCGCCAGCAGCAGAAGCCGTAGTAGGAGCTGGTGACAGGGTCTTAGGGAAGTGTGGGAAATCAAATGAACACAATGAATGACGTGTGCTTTTACTGTAAATGGACGTTTTAATCAAAACTGGTTCAAAAAATAAAAACGTTAAGAACACACGGCACCGCAGAAAGCTGGGAAGGGGGAAGAGAAAGGCAGCGTTTACCTGAAGCATCTCCAACTTTAAAATCACTGTCATCTGAACTATCATAATCGAGGGCTTCCAGGAGAGAAGCTGCCAAAGGCTTCACTTGCCTCCTCTTGGAGCTGCGATCCACTGTGAAAAAGGAAACATGACAGTCATTTTACATCGCACCGAGCAGGGAGAGCTGGGACGCTTAAGACGTTGGGGGGTGACATCGGGCAAGGACTCCCTCTAATTGAGTTCTCAAGAACACAGTGCTTGGGGAGAAGAAGTTGGGCTTGGGGGACGCAGGCTGCTGAAGGCCAGGCTGCCCGTGCGGTGCGGTCAAGACCGAGTCAGCGGAGCCACGATCCTCGCAGACCCCCGGCTGACGCATCTTCGAGGGGCATATGCTTCTGTGATGGCTCAGTTGTGCCTCCTTTAGAGGCCACAGGCGCACAGAAAGAAACCCACACCCCCGTCCCTGCCTCCCA